GATTACATGAGCATAAACACATGCAGACACACATGCAGATACTCACAGGTATGCACACACATACAGAGACATTAATGCACAAGCAGTACTCCTGTTACAGACACAGGCAGATGCACACACAGACACACACAGGCACAGGTAAACATACATACACACAGATTTACATGACACAGATACACAGACACATATGCAGACACACGCATGCCCGCATGGGCATACCAACACAGGCACAGATACAAACAGGCACACAAAAACAGACACAGCAGGCCGGGCTCAGTGGCTCAACCTGTAATCCCACACTTTGGAAGGCCAAGGTGAGTGAATTGCCTGAACCCGCAGGTTCGAGTCCCGCTTGGGCAACTTGGCGAGACCTCATCTCTACAATAAATCAAAAATCGGCCGGGCATGGTAGCAGGCGCCTGTAGTTCCAGCTACTTGGAAGATTGAGGCAGAAGGTTCACCGGAGCCCAGCAGGTCAAGGCTGTGGTGGCTGGGAGCATGCCACTGCACTCCAGTCCGGGTGACAGAGAGACTCCAACTCAAAAAAAAAACAAAACAGACACAGCTACACATGAACACAGAAGTACACACACACAAACACACACACACACAGGCACACTGGTGCACATATAGGCATATGAGGGGAGACTCCCAGGAAACGGAATCATTTTTTGGAGGGTGGGCTCCTTGTAATACAGGTTTCCCCTGCTAGGTAAGGATTTCAGGAATTCATCGGCATCAGTGTACAAGCTAGTGCCATTGTGAGAGACTGCGCTCTTTCAACGTTTGCTCATTTCATGGTGAGTGGTTAACAAGTGTACCTGTCCACACTGCACTGAGGTTTTAGCAGTTTTTGATCATAAAACAGCATGATCCCCATGCCCCACCCTCCCTATTCACTGGATCTTGCCCTGGGCAACTTTTTTATGTGTTTATTTCCCAGGATGAAAGAAGTCCTCAAAGGAAACATTTTGCTGATGTGGAAGAGTTGAAACAAAAAATGGCTGAAGCACTAAAAGGTATCAATTTGATGAGTTCAAAAAGTGTTGAACAGTGGAAAAATTTCTCGGGATGTGTATTGCATCAAATGGAAAAAAAAAAAGGTGATCAAAAGTTAAACATGTAAGAATAGGTACACTTTTTTAGTAAATAAGTTCTGGGTTTTTTGGGTCCCCACCTTGTACACAGACACATACAGATACACACAGGTATACACATAGACACACACACACACACACACACACACACACACACACACACACACAGACATACACACAGAGTCTGAACCTCTATGGGGCCATGTCCAGGCTGGCTGTCCAGAGGGCACCTGGAGATGAACATAAGGTCCCATCAGAGACCAGGCAACAGTTCTAGCATGCTTTTCTTCCAAAGGCTGGAACTCCCATATGTCAGTGGGAAATACGTCAGGTGGTCACAGGAATTATGTAGAAAAGTAAAAGTGGGCCCAGGAGAAAGAGTAACACATTCTGGGTGTGAGGCTATTTTATACTGCTTGATCAGGGAAGGCCACTGAGCAGTGGCTTTTGAACAGAAACCTGGGACTTGGAGGTGTGTAGGGTGGTATTCTAGAAGGGGACTGGGGTGTGTGAGTAAGTGGTCATCATACAGATGAAGTTTGGGCCTCCCATTGGTTTTTAACTTAGCCTGACTTGGGATCAGCTACCCTTTTTACTATTGTGTATCTCCCCTCCTCCCAGTGTGATCCACTGCTGCCAATCCTTTTCTTGTAGCACTATTATTGTACATGCTCAGGTTCCACTTACGAATGAGAACTTGTGGTACTCCATTCTTTTTCTTTTTGTGATCACTGAGTATGATAGACTCCAAATTTTTCCAAGTTGCTGCAAAGTCCATAATTTTGTCCTTCTGGTTGCATAATATTCTATTGTGTGTATGTACCACATTAAAAAAATCCAGTTCACTTTCGATGTGCTGCACAGTTGGTTCCATGTTTTTGTTATTGTGCATAGTGCTGCAGTAAACTTAAGTGTACAGATCAGATATCTTTTTTGTAGAATGATTTGAGTTTCTCTAGGTATATATCCTCTGGGGGGTTGCACCTCGATGTGGCTTGGCCACATTCTCTGCCTGTGGCCAGGTTGGCTTGTTCTTTCACAAACTGAGTGAGCATGAGTTCATGAGTCCAGAATGAAGTGGCATCTGCCCTGCACCATTGCATAGTTTATTCCTCCTCAGGTGCTATGAGGTCTGTGAATGTCATGGGGTGGCCCTGAGGCCCAGAAGGATGATTCCTGGGTCATATGAAAAGGTTGATTTTTAGATTTTTTAGAAATTGCCACACTGTTTTCCACAGAGGTTGCACTAGCTTACATTTCCACCAACAATGTAGACGTGTTCTCTTTTCTTCACATCCTCTCCAGCATCTGTTGTTTTTTGAGCTATTAATGATGGCCATCCTGACTGGAGTTAGGTGGCATCTCAGTGTGGGTTTGATTTGCATTTCTTTGATGTCTGTCTTTGTTTCTAAGATCTGAGCACGACACCCTTCTGAGTCACACTTAAGTTAGATTCCCCCCTTTCCATTCTGCTTCTCCAGGGACACTGCCAATATCTTCCCCTGTCACCCACTTTTCTGTGAGCTGGTCCCATCACTAGGGGTGCCTGAGGAATGGAGGAAAAAGCCAGTGCTCTGGCACATGGAGTTTGCCAGTTTTGGGACCTGCTGCCTCAGTTTCCTCCTTTGTGCATAGAAGATGACAAGCCACAGAAGTTTGACATCCAGGTCTGTGAAGCGTCAGCACCTGGGAGGTGCTCAGGTACAGGGCATGTGCTGGGAGGGGTGCGGCCAGTGGGGACTAAGTACAAGCCAGTCTGGGGAGCTGAGTGGGCCAGGTGGACTGCGATGCTTCCTGCAGGAGGAGCTCTCTGAAAAGTGGAGTTGTTTCAGAAGTTAGGAAAAAGGTGGAGGCAGCTGGGAGGGGTTGTCCAAAACCATGGGCCTCAGGACCACCCCATGATATTCACAGGCCTCATAGCACCTGAGGAGGAATAAACTATGCAATGGTGCATGGCACATGCCACCTCATTCTGGACTCATGACCTCATGCTCACTCAGCTTGGGAAAGAGCAAGGCAACCTGACCACAGGCAGAGAATGTAGCCGAGCCACATCGAGGTGCATTCCCCCAGAGGCCTTGGGCTTTCTCTCAACCACCTGCTCTGGACAAGGGGGACATGCCAGCTGCCATCTCTTCCCAGCCATCTGGTGTGGCCCAGCTCACTCTTTTTTTTTTTTTTTTTGAGTTGGAGTCTCACTCTGTCGCCCAGACTGGAGTGCAGTTGCTGCTCCCAGCCACCGCAGCCTCTACCTGCTGGGCTCCGGTGATCCTTCCACCTCAGCCTTCCAAATAGCCGGAATTACAGGCATGCGCTACCACACCCGACTGTTTTTTGTTGTTGTCGTTGTTTATTGTAGAGATGAGGTCTCACCAAGTTGCCCAGGCAGGTCTCAAACCCACGGGCTCAGGCAGTCCACTCACCTCAGCCTCCCAAAGGTGCGGGATTACAGGCTGAGCCACCGAGCCTGGCAACTCAGCTCACTCTTGAGGCTGCCATGTGGGTGGATCAGAACTGGAGGATACCCTGCCCCCCACTGAGCCTATAATCCATCCACCTGGAACAACTGCAGCTGGTTTTCAAAGGAGGAATCCTGCCACCTCTCTGCACCTGCCAGAACACACGATTGTGGAAATTGGTGAGACCTACTCAATGTCAGACACCTATATGCTCATACCTTGTCCTGGGGACATGAGTTCACACCCCATCTGGGGACAAAAGTTCACATCCTCTCCTGTGGCCATGAGCTCATACCCTGCCCTTGGGGCCACAAGCTCGTAGCCACATCCTGAGTATATGAGTTCACACCCTGTCCTTGGGGCCATGAGCTCACAGTTCATCCTGGGGGCTACCTGATCACATCCCATTCTGGGAGCCAGCAACTGGAGGTGTCTTCTAGACACTGAGAAGTTCTCTGATGCAGTAGTCTTGATGGGCTTCAGCAGAATGAGACATCTTCCCAGTGCTGGCCATGTCACCAATGATCAGTGAAAATGTGGAGTGACATCAGCATCATGATGCTGTCTATGCTGTCATGTTTCAGTGGGTCCTTGGATGAGTCAGTTATCTTTCTGTGTTACTGTTTCTAAATGTTTTTAACATCACAGGTGATTGTGCCAAGTAAGACCTCATGACTGTAAGACATTGTATCATTATCGCCTTCTTCCAGGCTGACAAGAGGAAACTCGGAGAACCCCAGGTAGGATGTCCCCATCCCTGCTCACCCCAGGACAAAGCAGGTCATCCCTCTAGTGCAGCTGCAAGATGTGCCATCAAAGACAGTATTATTCACACTTATCAGTCTTGTCAAAGGCAGACAGTGCAAAGAAGAGGTGAAGGGCCAGAAAGGGCCAGAGGGCAGTTGTACAGTCAGTGGGCAAATGTGCACAAATGTATACACATGCCTGCACATACATGTGCCCACCCTCACAAACCAAAGAAACATGCATGTACACATGGAAACTTGCATGTGCACATAGGCAAACATGCAGGCATACATACACACAAGTGTGCATGATATGTAAGTGTACATGTGCGCACATATACATGTCGAATGCAAGCTTAGCATGCCCGTGTGTACTTCCACACTTATACATATAGGCAAATGTGTACACACATGTGCTCTTTCATGTACATATTCACATTGTGTTCATACTTGCACATACACACACACACACACACACATAGACACATACATTCCTCTCCAAAGGGACACATTGTGAATGTGGAGTGTATCAAAGTTAAGCAGGCAGTACTGGCAGAAATTAGGCCTCTGACAGTGTCAGAACTGATTGAGAACCTGCCACATGGGTAACACAGCCCATCTCCAAGCACTGCCATCCTCTGACACAGGCTGGGATTTCTTGCTGGCTCTGCTCCTCAGATTAGGGCTGACACTGGTTCTCAGGGCTCCCAGTCTCAGACACATGTCCTTCTCCAAAGTCCTTCAGTCTGACACAAGGAACTCAAGGAAAAATGCAGTGTCTTACCACTTGGAGACAAAGAGGTACAACTGGGAGCCTTGGGTTACAGCCTGAAAGTTTTTTCTAAATCAAGGCCTAAATGCAAGGGGGCTTGGTGCTCCCTGGAGGAGGGCAGCTTACTGTTCAGTCCCACTGCTATGGGGGGTGGGTGCTAGTTCCTTGGAGGACCCTTGCCCTCTCTGTGGCCCTGGGGATAGGGAGTCCTCTTGGCTGGTACATATGAGAAGGTAAAAAGATGCCAAGGTCGTTACTCATGAAAGCTTTTTGTATTTTGGGAATACCCGTCCTTCGAGAGCTGGGACTCATGGAAGCTAAGCATGGGGTTCTGTCCTCCCTGTGCCTACCAGCCCAGCCAAGCTTTTCATGGAACACCAGGGAGGATGCCAACATTCTGCTGCCATAGCCTCCCTGGGGAGTTTCTCAGCCCTGTGCAGGGGCAGGTACAGCTAGGGGAGTAGGAAGTGGTTCATGCAGAGCACACACATGCCCCTTCACCAGGAAGGCTTGCAGTCAGCATAGGTCATGCAAGGCCCACAGAGTTCCTAGAACAAACCTCTCATAAGCACTGCCAGGTGGAAAATTCATGGCCCAGTGCCCAAAACAGACCAAGCAGAGCTCTCAGTCCCAGAGCACCTTTTGAAGTTTTCTATTTTAAAAAAGCAATAACTTTCTTTCTAGGCCATGGATGGATAAATTAGCTAAGGGAAAATGCAGTGTGATGATCATTTATCATCCCAGCCCCAGAGGATCCTGGGAGCCCTGTCCTGGCCCTGGGAATCAAGGTCAGCATCATCTGCTCCCCTCATTATTTCTAGTTTTGACAATTACATCTGGGCCTCCCGCAAAATAGCAAGAGGAGACCATTTCAAGTGCTAGCATGCTACCTTTTGTCAGAAAGTCACGGGGTGCAGGAAAAAGTAGCCAGGACTCCAGCAACATGGTAATGGCAGGACTCAGACAGCCCTTAGCAATACTCTGACCTGTTGCCCAACCATGCAACCATATAAATTGAAGCCAGAGAGAGTGATACATGCCTGAGCCCATTCAGCAAGTGAAGCCCCCGAGCAGTCAGTACTGGCCCTCTGAAATGCAGGGCTTGGGGCGAAGAAGGAGACCTGGGCATCCCATGGCTGATAGTGGGCCCTTGGACCTGCCTGCCACTCACTCTCCTCTGTTGTCCACTGCAGACAACATGCCCAGCCTCACAGGATCTGGGCACTACCCATGTCCCACACAGTGAATGAGAACCCATAGCTTTGGAAGGAACCAAAGGGACACAGAGTACACTTGAGAGTCTCCTTTGTACATACTGTATACACATGTGTGTATGTTTGCATATGCGTGTACTCATTTACAAGTGTGCACACATAAATGTGTGAATGGGCACAAACATGCATGTGTACTGTACACAGGCATGCACATGTGAATGGGCACCTGTGTATGTACAAATATGTATGTGCACATATGCACACCTGTGTTTTTGTGTGTTTATGTGAGGAAGAGCATGTGTGAGTGTGTGTATGTACACGTGTGTGCATGTGCACAGTCACTGCCTCTAGACCCAGAAGGACAAGTCTTCTCCAAAAGGGTTAGGAGGCTACAACTGGCCACCTGATTCGCCACCTGGGAGACTGGCATTGGCCACCACTTTCACCTCTTCTCCCTCCTCACCATGAAGCCAGCATCTCAGGGGGTTGTGCTATAAGTGGGTCAACCCTGGGACCCAAGCCCCTGCCACCCATGACTGTTAGAGTCACTGAGCAGGGGTATGTCCCCAGGGCACAAGTCTGCATCTGAGTTGCCTGGCCTGTGAGAGCCTGGGCCTGATGTTCTGCAGAGTTCACTCCCCATCTCCACCTCCATCTACAATGTGTCATCTGGCCCCAGGCCAAGACAGACTGGTGGCTGCCGGGGTGAGGATGGAGGAGAGGTAGGAACAGGACCAACAAAGCTTTGCTCTTAGCTGAGCCCTTCGAGTATCTCCAGTCTGCCTGCCCTATGGAGCAGTTCCTCGAGTCACAGGTGTTCCCTTGAGGTACTCCTCAAACACACATCCTCTAGGCGACTGAGCCTTGCCCTTACATGAAGACTGTCACTCACTCTTCATCCACCCCTCATTAACCTAGATCCTGAGGCTGGGAAGGCAAAGAAGAACTGATATGGTGGCTTCTGTGACAAAGAACATTGACTAATAAGGCAGGGGCCAAGAAAGCCATCAGACCACAGAGGACACACACGGAGGTTCATGGTGAGTGGGCAGCCAGGGCTGGCATTTACAGAGCACCTGCTGTGTTCAACACAGCGTTCCCCTTTGCTATCCACACTCGCCTCCTGGGGAGATGAGTCACAGCCTCAGGTTGCGATCCAGACTTACAGAAGTGGAGCCCAGGGAAGGGGACAGCTGATATCACTCTGTTCTGTTACACTCTGGATATTCTGAGTGCCTGTGCTGTCTCTTCAGGGCTTGTGTGGGGCCGGGTCCTGGAATTTTGCTATATACATCATAGCTGGTGAGTGGGAGTCTCAGGCAGAAGTGGGAGTCTCAGCACAGTGGAGAGAAGTCTCCTCAAAGGGGCTCTGTCCCACTGTGGACCCGATGCCATGAAACCCCTCGAGATCCTTGGAGAGGCATCACCTTTAGCACTGGCAACGTGGGTGGCCCTGTCCTCTGGAGCCCACTGTGCTGGGCTGGCCTGACACACCACCACTCCAGGTAGACCCTGACCTGCTCTTGTCAGTGAGAATTGCTGAAACCTTATTTCTAGCTGTCTGTGCCCTCTTCTCCCTCCTCACCATGAAGCCAGCATCATGGGGAGCCAGAAAGGGCAAATCGGAGCCACCCTTTGTGAAGTGCCTGCAATGTGCTCATGGTCCTCCTCACTGGCTCTGCTCCCTCCAGAGGGAGTCAGAAATAAAGAGTCTGAGGCCCCGATGCCAGGATGACCAGGGACCCCCGCTGTGAGCTCCCTCAGCCCCAGAGCATGTCTGGTGTGGTGTGTAAGGCTGATCGGGTTTGTAAGGCCAGCATGGATTTCCAGGATCTAGCCGACCCTTTGCCTGACCCATGTCTCATGCTACCCCCACATGTGTGTCTCA